TGCGTCAGGTCTCGCGGGAGCAGGTCTCTAATCCACTGGCACTTGGCTGGACAGTGCGTGTGCTACATCCTTTTTTACAATCTCTAGACTGTAAAACACTGCATTCTGCCAGCAATGTAATGCGGCAGTAACGTACAGAGACCTCGGCTCTATAACTATAACTATACTAATTACTATTTTGAAAATTATAAGGCGTTAAATTACTCCATTACTAAAAAAGTAAACAAATTACAGTAACGCGTTACCAAGTAATGCGTTACTGCCCAACACTGTTTATTTTAATACATTTTAAAATTCAATTTATTCCTTCAGGCTTCAGTGTCGCACAGTTCTTCAGAGATCATTGTAATATGCTAATTTGGTGCTCAAGAAACATTTCTTACTATCATCAATTAATATTTTTGTGGAAACCATGATTCATTTTTTTCAGGATTCTTTGATTAATATATATATATATATATTTTTTTTAATAATATTTAAATATTATTTTATAATGTTTACTGTTTTTAACCAAAGTGTTACATAAGGTGTGGCTATTTTAATACTGATGCCAGACTTTCATGCATTTCACTCCTTCATTCGGTGATATAAAATTATTTATGTTGTGATAGAAGATTCAGATCATTCTTTAACTAATTATATGTCTACATTTGCTAATATTAATTTGGTCAGGAATACTAGTTAAACCCCAAAATGTTTTTTGTTTACCACAAGATGCCAAAATGTTGCTATGGTTATCACTGTAACAACCATAATGAGTTCAACAGAGTTCATGTGACTCCTCAAACAATGCTGTTGTCACTCCCAACATTTCATTTGTTACTGTGTCTATAAAACTCATTTATTCTAAAGGGAAAAGCTGATGTCATAAGCTTCATAAGTCTTTAACAGATTAAACTATAGTTTTAGTATATTTCTGTAAAAGGCTTGTCTTAATATGCACTGGTTTACATTTTACATTAAGACAACGTCAATCAGTGCAGCATCAGATCTCTCATAGAGCAAATCCTTCCATGCAGGCCCTCTCTATTCCTGACACCAATGATTAACAGCATCAAAGGTGCCACAGAATAAAGAACACATGACGGTTAAACACAACCATTTACAGTACACCAATAACTTCCCCCTATACAAAGGAGCCCCCAAACATTTCCGTCACCTTCCAATCCACATAAAACAGTTGTAAATTTACAGCTGGACTGCATTTGTCCAAAGTGAAAGAAAATAACTGCTCAAGTTGCATGAAAACACAGGAAACATGGTTTTACAAGTCACAGTGGGCTGTTAGCTCTTCCTGGAAGTGCGCTATGGTCTGTTACACACAGAATGCATCTGAGCCCACAAATAAAAGCCCCCTTCTGCTTTCAGTCTATAAACCCGTCATTTGATAAAATGACAGTTGCCCCAGTAAATGCACCTTACCTCGTTGTAGAAGAAGTGCACTGTGTGGTTGTTGAGTTTCAGAGACAACGTTTTCAAAAAGGAGATATAGTAGGCCATAATTTCCTCATCAGAGAAGTCAAATTTATGTACAATGATAGAATTAACGTGATTATTGGACAGCAAATAATCTAGAAAAGGAAAATAACAACATATTTTATGTTCAGGACATAAACATAAAATTTAAAAACATCAAATTTGAACTTTATCCAGGGGTTTACTCACAGAGAGAAGTCTCATGACTGATGTTCTCGAAAAGGATGTTGAGCGTTTGCAGAAGCTGGACACACACATACCGTCCGGATTTCTGCCGTAGTATGTTGAGGAAAAATGCAAACATGTTCTTCTCCAAAAAGAAGCTACGGAGAGAGAATGATGTTTTTGGTCATTAAAAACATGGTTTAGCATTTTCAGATAGGCCTACGCTGTCATTTTATTGCAAATCTAACATGTGGAAATACTGTCAAAATTGAAGGTGAAACTCACTCAAAGACAGAGCTGTCATTCTGATCACCCCAGATAAGAATCTCAGTAATAGAGCGAATAGTTTCCACCAGCAGATTTCTGTTGTGATCAGTCACTGTTGTGTTCTTTGTTAGGACGTGGTACATGTACCTAAAAAAAAAAAAAAAAAAAA